AATTAGTCAATTTAAATACATATCAAATCATCAAGTGCCCTTATTCATTTTCCTAGACTCCATATCAAAATTCCATTCTTAAAGTTTACTCAACCCCTTCTCAAAATTTAAAAGAAAAAGTTGAGATAAATTGTGTCATAAAAATATTTGCCATTATTTAAATAAAAAGTTTTTTAGGATGTAATTAATAATAAAAGCTTGTCCTTATGATCAATTGTGTGTCATGATTTGACTTGAATAGAGGCTAGCTTTCACTTCCCAAAGCAACCCAAACTTCTTTGAGGTTCAATAGGGATTGATTCGCAATGATGCGATGCGACCGACACCAAATCAAGCTGCAAAATAAGTTTGAAAGAGAGGTCGACTTTATTGACATTCAATCCTACGAGAATAATGATCAATGAGGCGATGCGGCCGACACCAAATTGAATCAAAATTAGGTGAAATGGTGTATGATTTGACTTGAATAAAGGCTAGTTTTCACTTCCTAATGTAACCCAAACTTGTTTGGGGTTCAATTAGGATCGATCCACAATAATGCGATGTGACCAACACCAAATCAAGCCGCAAAATAAGTTTGAAAGAGAAGTCAACTTTATTGAAATTCAATCCTATGAGAATAATAATGAATGAGGCGATGTGACCGACACCAAATCACTTCAATTTCTCATTGATGTTAGCATTCAATCCCATGAGAATAATGATCAAGTCTCTTTTATTGACATAAAATAAGCTTTTTTTCCTTCCAATTTAGGTTAACCTTTTGGATACCATTTTTTATAAAGTTCTTCAACAAGGTTATTCACTTATCAGTTGGGAGATTTGAGGCAATATTGTTGAACTGGAGGCACCTAAAACACTTATGGAGTTGAGTCTTACTGATAAAGTTACTAATTTTACTATTATTCTTGGCTTGGAGCTAGTCAAATGGAGCAGCTTATGGTAGAATTTTGCTCGTTAGAGTAGCAAGTTCTTGAGGAATATCATTGTTTTAACACCCATATATACATCTTGGTAATGTAAAAAATTATCAAATATTATTGAAGTTGAATGAAGGTAACTTGACAAAACTAAGGTTTTGTTTGGGGCGGCTTTCTTACTGCCTCTTAAAGCAGTTTTTAGTATACAAAAAATTATTTCAAGAAGCAGTAAGAAAGCCGTCCCAAACGAAAAGCCTAACTGGGTACATTTTTCTATTTTAATTAGATGGGGGAGGTCTTTAAGAGATTTCAGGAGTTGTTGGAGTGGAGGTGGAAGCCTAAGGAAGTTGAGTTCTACCTAGCTAAAACTATATAACAGCATATGACATGATTTTCTTAGATATAGAAGTATGAGAAATTCATGATATTGAGTTTAGGATGTTAACAAACTATAGTGGTAGTTTTAGCTAACTATATATATAGTTAATAAGTTATGAGTTTACTATGTGGTTTGTGGCTTTCTTATTGCTTCTCAAAGCAATTTTCTAGTATAAAGTTTTAATTTTTTTGTACTAAAAAGCTATTTTAAGAAGTAGTAAGAAAGTTGTCCCAAATGAAGCCTTAGTCGCAATTGGTGGAGAACATGAGTTATGTTTTGGTGGAGGAAATATTACTCAATTTTTAAAAAGGTAGATTTGAGGTCTTGGAAAAATTGTGGGGTTGTAGTAGAATAAATTTAGAGGGAAATGGGATATGTAAGGTTCACAAAGGGATATGACAGCTTTTCTATTGTTTTCTAAAGCAGTTTGTTAGTTTAAAATTTTCTTAAACTATAAATTTTTATTCTAGAATTTTGCTTTAAAATGCAATAATAAAGTTGTCACAAACAAAGCCTTAGGGTCCATTTGGGACGGTTGCAGTTGTCGATAAAGCAGATTGTGAAGTTATTGTAGGAAGAGCTGCTTTTTGAAGTTCTTGTATAGAAAATCATATTTTTGGTTTAGAAAGTATGGCTGTAAATTGCTTTGTCGCAGTTGTATAAGAATAATTTACACTACTACCCTCATCATACATTAAAAAATGTGACATTTCTATATCTCTTCGGGATCTAATTGTGCTCATGGTGGAAAGCCAATATTTCAAAACTTTTTCTTGTGGCAAATAATTAATCGATAGCTCCGATCCAGAAGCAACATTAAACACTTTCGTTCTTCATATTTCAACATAAAACTTTTTTTTTGTTGGTCCTATTTATTTTTAAGTTGCATTTTATCATACTCTCTTCTTATTTTCTCATAAAAGTTCTTAATTAAATTCAATCAACACTTTTTATTGAAGTGTGTTATCAGTCTATTGCCAAGTCCAATCTCTCTTATACATAAATCACAAAATATCATCTTCACATCTTGCTCCCATGCTGCAGATGCTCCACTATCCTTTGGTTTACCCATTGAATTTATTAATTGTTGTATTATAAATTCATGATAAGTTTTGTAAATTTTTTTAAATGCAACAACTAAACATACAAGACAATTATTTATAAAATTTAAAATAGTGTATATAATATGCAATATATCTATATAAATTTCAAGGGTATTTTAAATAAAATAGCAACTATTAAAAGTCACTACGGTAGATTGGTGTAGGACGATCTACCTGCTAGAAATAGGTTCATGAGCTGCTCGAGCGACCTCTGATCAAAGCAGACGATGCAGCTGATGAAGACGAGGATGAGAATTTTGGTGACAAGCGACCTCTAATCAACCAATATAATCGTGTGTGGAAGATTGGCGTGAGGGGAGCTGCGATACTGGAGACGAGGATGGCTATCGTGGAAATGATCAAGTAGGAGCACAATGCTCTCGCATGAATCTGGCATTTACATCATTTTACATATTCAAAATAACGAATAGCTGTGGAACACGGGAGGTATTCATAGGTTGCGAGATGCATCCATTAACTGCGAAAATTTTCGCATATAACTCCGTTGTGCCACGATGCCCCAAATGATTCTTTAAAAACTTTTTATAAAGTAAAGCAGGAAAGAAAACATCCAAAACAGACCCTTAATCTGATTCACAAATCAAATAAAAAATCAACACATCAACATTCAACACCTTCTAGATACATGTTTTGCAAGCAATTAAAATTATTTTTCATTGAAGTACTTGGGGTATAAAAAATAATGAACTGATGTATAAGACAAAAACACACAAGAGAAAGCATTATAATTCCCCTAATAAATCTAAACTCCAAGTCAATGATCCTCTTCCTGTTTAAAAACTTACAAAACAACTCTAATTTAAGGATTTAATTACATCTTTTGATTATTTCCTTAAAGAAATATTCGTACCTAATCATGTATTATTGACCCCTATTTTTCATTGAAAGAATAATATAAAATAATAAAAAAATGCTAATTGTTATGCTATTTACTCTTGGATGTAGTTAGAGACCTCATAACTTGTCCAACATTGTAATTATTTCTTCATCTTCTCCAATGTGATGACCTTGCCCTTGACTTTATGATTCTAATTTTTTTTTTAAATCCACCAAATAAAAATGTTCATTTTCATTTTGATGGCTACAAACTTGATCGATCGACCTGTCCATATTTCTTTGTAATCAAAGACATGTTTCAACGAACACATCGATTGATATAATTGCTGGAATTTATAGGTCCTTCAAAATTTAGAAGGCCAACTTTTATAACAAACCTTGTAAATTCATTCTTGATTCCCTCATTAGAACCTAAAATTGGAGCTCTTCTTCCTCGAATAATTTGTTTTAAGTGTTTGAAAGAATCGCTTAGTCTTCTAGATTTTCCTCTAAGTCAAAGAAATGGGCATATCAACCTTATTGCTCATACATCATAACTTATTGTAACAACCATTTAAACTTCGTTTGTGACAACTTTAGACCACTATTTTTTCTCTATTTCCAAGAGATTTTTATACTAAAAAGCAACTTTACATAATTGTAAGAAAGTCGTCCCAAATAAAGCTTTAATATAGTGTATACAAGGTGTGTACAATACACACCTTACACATAATGTGCACAAATCCACGTGTTACAATTTCATTGGATTCTTGACATAGAGCTATGTCCGAACTCCCCACATAATAATTTCTCCTCACCAAGAGAGCTAGCAACACTCCAAGCATCTTACAATAGATCATATTATTTAGATACTAATATATATATATATAACATATAAACAC